GCGAGTGAATGAGGAGGGGCAAAAGAAGGAGCGCTTGAAGCTATAGGATCTCGGTAGTCAGACGTTAAGGATAGATGTCTGCTACCGACTCAACTCTCGGTCACAAAATTTCCAGTAGACATCTGAAGCCTCAACTCTAAGAGGCAAGTACAGCGAGTCGCGCGCAATCACGTGCCTGCGGCTCGGTATTTCAGTTCTTGGACCGGCGTGACCCTTCCGTCTTGGCAAAACTCGAAGCTTGGTGCAGCCGGACGATGTATCCGGGCGCCACACCTTGTTATTGGAATCAAATCATTTCTTACCACCATCTTTCGTCATGGGGGAAGTCACTAAATTCCAAGTTCGCCATCACCCAGCCATGCTGATCTGTTTCATCCTCCAGGCGAGCTCCCGTCAAGCCCGTCCATCAGGCTCGTCCTTGACCACGGTAGCAGCCAAGTTTGTGACAGATAGTGCCCAAACAGGACCTGGTCTCCGAGGCTGCGGTTCTAATTCTGGTCAAGCACTCTGCGTCTATCCATGATCTGCCTTTAGCGAATCCTTAGGAATCCATGCAGTGCGATGCTTTATTGTACAAGTGACGTAAGACCACTGTCATTGTTTCTCCTGCTTCAGGCCCATCAAAGGAGTGAGTGCCTCCCAATGGTCTCGGATTGACTTTTCTTCCGTGTGACCCGTCACCATGCCATGACAAGTCGACCAACAACTCATCTACAAGTATCTCTTGGGCATTCGGCTGCTCAGGCTTTTACGACTCAAGCCTCTCTCGCCCAACCTTCAATATGTCCCACGTCAAGAGCGTTCTCTCGAGCTTGCGCCACAAGATATCTACTTCTAAGCATGAACTAACTGAATCACTCTCCCGAAACGGCGAGAAAAACTACCGGGGCGGTTCGGAAAAGGATGTTGCCCAGATAATAAGCGAAGAACAGGAATGGTCTAGCAGCGAGGAGGACGCAGCGGACTTCCCTCACCATGGCCAAACGGCGAAAAGTCTGGACGAGTTCCTGGACAACGATGACCCTCCAGAAGTCAAGCAGCTCTACGGCAAATTACCCTTGATGCAATCTCAAGATGAGGCCCCTGTCAACCACATATGGCATACGCAATGGACTCCGTTAACAGTCGTGGATCCCAGCCACATTGGCAAGGAGGTCGCTTTTCGCGCCCGGGTCCACGTAGTTCGGCACATGAGTGCAAAGCTCGCCTTTGTCGTTTTTCGAGAACAGACCACTACGATACAAGGAGTCCTTCGGGCAGTTGAAGGTGGCATCTCCGAGAATATGGTGCGATGGGCAGAGCATATCCGAACGGGTTCGATTGTGACTGTTAAAGCCATAGTCAAGGAACCTGAACAGACGGTCAAGAGCACAAGCACTCACCATGCTGAACTTGATATTCAGACAATGCACGTTGTCTCTGCTCGAGAAAACCCCGTGCCTTTCAGCGTTTACGAGGCGGATGCTGCAACTGAGGGCCATTCGATAGCAGACCGAGTCAGATTGTCGAATCGAGTATTGGATCTGCGCACGCCCTCGGCGCAAGCAATCTTCAGAGTTCAGTCGAGCGTATGCAGAACCTTCCGAAACTACCTTGAAGATCAAGGGTTCCTGGAAATACACACTCCCAAATTGCAAGGCGGCGCAACTGAAGGTGGAGCGGACGTGTTCAAGGTCAATTACTTTGGCCGACCGGCTTTTCTTGCTCAAAGTCCCCAACTTGCCAAACAGATGTGCATTTCGGCGGATTTTGGAAAAGTGTTCGAGGTTGGTCCTGTCTTCCGCGCGGAGAACTCAAACACTCCGAGACATATGACGGAATACACCGGATTGGACTTGGAGATGGCGATTGACCGTCATTACCACGAAACAATGTGGCTCATCGATGCAACATTGAAAGAAATCTTCAAGACTTTGTATGTTCGCAACAGAAAAGACATCGATACCCTGAAGCAGCACTTCCCGCACGACGACCTGATCTGGCTTGACGAGACAATACGACTCACCTTTGCGGATGGCGTCAAACTGCTCAACGACTCGGGATGGACTAATGACGACGGAAGCCAGCAATCTGAGTATGAGGATCTACCGACCCGAGGCGAGCGGAGGCTAGGAGAACTAGTCAAGGAGAAGTACAACACCGACTACTATATTCTCGACAAGTTCCCAACAGCTGCCCGGCCGTTCTATACCATGCTTGATCCCAAAAATGGAAGGGTCACAAACTCTTTCGACTTTATGGTCCGAGGACAAGAAATATTGTCAGGTGGGCAGCGTGTTCACGATTACAAGCTTCTGAAAGAACGGATGGAGGCTTCGGGCATGAATCCAGACGACCTCAAGGAGTATATGCAGGCCTTTCAGTGGGTAGCACCACCCCACGCAGGTGCCGGTATCGGTCTTGAGCGTTTGGTGTCTCTGATCTTGGACCTTGGTAACTTACGATATGCAACGCTATTCCCCCGAGATCCAAAGAGCTTCCCAGCAAAACCAGTATCCCAGTTACGACATCCTGAAGACAATACTCTAAACAGGCGGAAAGGTCGTCTTCCACCCCTCGAGAACCTGGTTGCAAATTACGGCGATGCTACAAATACATCCTGGATGGATGAGAGGTTCCAGATTTGGCGGGATGAGAAGACAGGTGCCGCCATAGCATACGTACCATCACACGATCGAGCCATCTGTCCTGGAAATCCCCTCTGCGATCCGCGTCAGCTGGAAGACGTCATCAGTGCGTTCCTTACTTGGCTTCGCAAAGAGACCAAACTCCGACCTCTCTTCATTCTCGTCGGCAAAGAGGTCGAAGACGTTCTTGGCGACAACCTGGGATGGAGAAGCTTTACGAACGTGGCAGAACAGCGGGTCAACCTGGCCAATAACGAGCACTTGAATATTGACACCGATGTGGACCGAAAGATCAGACATGCCACAAAGGAAGGGGTCAAGGTGACCGACTATGGCAGTGAAGTCCCTGACGAGGTGCGCGAGAAGGTGGAAGAACGCATCAAAGAATGGCAAACCAGCCGGCAGGGCCCACAGGTTCATTTGAGCGAGATCACTCCTTTCAAAGATTCGTCGCATCGTCAATATTTCATCGCCCAGGATGGCGATGGCAAGTTTAACTCCCTGGTGGTGCTTGCACAACTGGCACCCAGGTACGGAACCCAAGTCAAGTGGGCTCTGGATTTCCCAGGTGCGGCCAACGGATCCATCGAATCGACGGTTTTGACCGCGCTGAAGGCCGCTGCAGACGCCGGCTACAAGTCGTGTACTTTCGGGGCCGGCGCGACCGCGAAATTGAGCAGTGGTCACAATGTCGGAGGGGCGAAGGAAGCCACGTTGAACTCACTGTATCAGACGCTGGCGGCCCGGTTCAATCTGGATAGAAAGACCGGCTTCCGGGCAAAGTTCAACACTTTGGACGACGCGCTGTACCTGTGCTACCCTCCCCGAGGTCTAGGACCAAAGGGAGCACAAGCAATTGTCGACTTCTTCCAAGGAGGTGATTAGACTACCTAGTCTGCGAGATCTGTGCTGGCACAGGCCATCGATTGAGAGGATTTCATCTTTTTTCTGTTGTTGTGCGGATGAAGCCGGTTCTAGCCATGGCGCTTTGGATATAGCGAGAAATATTTCCATGTCGTTGAAAGGCACTCTGCACCCCCCTGATATGTGCCCACATCTGACCTCTGACTGTCCAGACCCGTGGGGCAGCATCGGCAGTTACTGACTGTTGCCGGTAGTCACCCCACTATTACTGTGTACAGCATTAGCATTGGATGTCGACATTGTCCCACTCGTTCGTCTTCTCCAACAGCAACCAAAAGCATCGATATCTACTCGTTAAAGAGTCGAGATCTTTCATAAATCTCCAGACCCCAGAGTAAACTAACACCACGAGACTCGAAAATCTCCCAAGTTGCCGTGCTTGATTCATCTGGAAACGTCCTGTACAATGGCACTCAATCGCGTACTTCTTATAGGCGCATCTGGCAACCTAGGGAGCCTCATTCTCAAATACCTCCTTTCCTCGCCATCCAAGTTCAACGTCACGGTATTGACTCGAGAGTCGTCCACGTCCAAGTTCCCATCCACAGTGACCGTGTCCAAGGTCGCCGACGACTACCCGGCGGCACAGCTCGTCGAGGCTTTCAAGGGCATCGATGTGGTGATCTCGGCCATTTCCATGATGGGCATGCACGAGCAGTACAAGTTCATTGACGCCTGTCTGGCCGCCAAGGTCAAACGCTACATCCCCACGGAGTACGGCCTTGACGATCTGCCCGACTGGCTCGTCGAGCTGAGACCTATGTTCCGGATCAAGCACGATGTGCGAGACTATTTGGTCTCCAAGGAGAAAGACGGCCTAGACTGGACCTGCATCGTCTGCAATGTCTTCTTCGAAATGGGTGTTCAATCGGGCTTCTTCCAACTCTTCTGGCCGGATAAGAAGGCGGTATTGATCGACGGTGGGGAGACGAAATGGGTGGCCACGACGTTGGATACCGTCGCCGTGGCGGTGGTCAAGGCCATCGAGAAGGACGAAGCCACCAGGAACAAGTTACTGCTGATCCAGGACTTCCGAACGAGTCAGAAGGAGATTCTAGACGCGATCGAAGAGAAGACCGGGAAGTGGAACGTGGAGAACGTGGCATACGACGAGTGGCTGGAAGAGGCCAAGGAAAAGGTCAGGAATGGTGATGACGGTGCTCTGTCGAAATTGACGTTCGGCTCCGTGCTGCCTGGGAGTGAGTGGGAGAAGAGGGAAGAGTTCGCAAACGACTTGTTGGAGTTGCCGACAAAGTCGTTCAAGCAGGTGATGGAGAGCGTGTTGCAGGGAGTTTGATGCCATCCAAGATGGGGTGAAGTTGCCTGAGTGAAACGAGACGGTTGGAAGGGGCTAGGGGCGGAGTGTTTGTGCCGGCCGGAGCTCCAAGATGAGGTACTTCTCTTGAGGTACGACGAATTTGGTTCGAAAGCAGCATGGATGCACAGAAAGAGTTGTTAACTAAGTGGTAGAGTAACAAGGGAATATAGGGCTATGGGCCCCCCCGCCTCGCACGGATTGCAGGGCCCGGCTCTTAACTTGGTGTCGTAGGTTCGATTCCTACACAACTCATTTTCTTTTTTTTTGCTTGTCATGTTCTCTTACTCTTGTCTGTGCGATCACGGTGTGTGTGTGGTATACAAGGCTGCTGGGAGCATCACAGCCTCACGGCGGTCCTTTAACAGTGGAAGAGCGAGGGGGATCCGAGAAAACTGTCTCTGTCTGACAAGATGCTCCTGACAAACTCCTCCCGAATACAGCTATCCCGAAAATGACGGGTCGTCAGACAAAAGCGTACACTCGTCTCGCCGTATGTGAACAAGGGGTCATCCACATCACCATGTGCCAAACTTTCTGCGGCCTTCCGGATAGAGAGAAATAGTCATTGTGAGGTTAAGTGCGAGACTCCAATTATGGTGTAACATTCAGAAGAGTCGAGGATTAGCCAATTGCATTGAAATAGACAGACTGAACTGTTGGACCCAGCACAATCCGACGAGGCTACGCCAAGAAAGAATATTTCCCGTCTTTGGGTCTCGAGGTAGATTCTGCATTTACGAAGTATTCGAATAGACGCCAACTCCTGCCCTCGTGCATACCTACTCAAACTCAGGTACTGAGTGAAGTCTTTTCACTAGGATTAAAATTCTCAAAACGGCACATCGCCAAACATATTCATCTTGTCTCCTCTTCACGAAGTGAAGGACAGGATACCCAGCACCACCACGGAATATCGAACCATTCGAACCCGCACTGATTTACTCATTCTTCTATGGGCTACGCTCAATGTACCCAATATCCAGCAGAGCAGTAACCCATGGATTATCTGATCCGCCTCGCCCAGGCACACGAGAGCTTTCGCCTACCCGAGCTCGAGGCCTTGGCCAGTCTCGCAGGCATCCGTTGCGAGGTCATTTCTTACCTTGAAAATTCACCATTCTGTCACGTTCGTTTCCACGCTCTACAACATGACGACGACAAATCCACCTCTTTGGATGAGACTCTCGACGATGCTGGTGTCGACGAGGTGATCCGGGAATTTGAGTCGCGCGCCATCCTCTCGAAATGCATCTACGAGATCTGGGGTCAGGGACGGGACTATGACGAACTACACGCCGACGTCAAGGCCCGGAGAAGTCGGCATCGTGGGCACAGATTCCAGCAGCAGGATGTCTCATTCAAATTCTCGGTCGACAGCTACGGGACAACACATGATCCGGCAAAGCAACGGCAGATCATAGACTCGTTCAGCTATCTCGACTTCAAGGGCAAAATCAGGATGAAGAACCCCGAGGCCGAGTTTGCGGTTCTAGAGGAGTGGCTGCCGCCGCCACTTGACTGCCCCCCGTCTCGGGGAGAGACGACGGTCGGCTCGGCTGTTGGTGCAGCTATAGATCCGCTGACAGGCACCACTCTCAAGAGGGTCTTCCTGGGTCGTAAGATCGGAGGGTCTCGGCGCTGGCTGAGAGAGAAACATGATCTCAAAAAGAGGCCGTACATATCCACCACGTCAATGGACGCCGAGTTGGCGCTGCTGACTGCCAATATGGCGCTGGCCAGTCCTGGCAAAATATTTCTCGATCCCTTTGTTGGCACGGGAGGCTTCATGGTCGCTGCAGCTGAGCTGGGTGCCGTGGTCCTCGGCTCGGATATCGATGGTCGGAGTTTTCGTGGCAAGGGCCTCGGTCTCGATAGGGGAGTCGGAGCCAATTTCAAGAAATATGGCCTTTCAGATCTCTTCGCGGACTGCATTACTTCGGATTTGACCAACACTCCATTTCGCAGTCCGACCAAGACACAGCAGTCCTCCGGCGTAAGATGGCTAGATGGCATCCTATGTGACCCTCCTTACGGGGTCCGAGAAGGCTTGAAGGTGCTGGGAACGAGGAAAGCTGCTGCTTTCCCATCAACCAACAATGTGAGCGATGGCTCGGAGACATCCACTCCTCCAGCCATGCACCTGATCGATGGCGTCCCTGCTCACACACGTCCGGGTTACATTGCGCCCAAAAAGCCTTATTCCTTTTCGCGGATGCTTGATGACATTCTAGACTTCGCGGCCAGGACGTTGGTCGATGGTGGCCGACTCGCCTTCTGGATGCCTAGTGCGAATGAGAATGAATTGGGCGAGGAGGAAGTGACTGTCATACCCATCCATCATTCCCTGGAACTCAAGCATGAATGTGTGCAGAGGTTCAACAAATGGAGTCGCAGGCTGTTGGTGTACGAGAGGGTTCCCGGTTCTAGAGACCCAGAATTAGATGTCGAAACGGTTCGGCGTGGTGTGGCAGAGATGGCCAGTACGGGCCAGACAGCTGATGAGCTGAATCCGTTCCGCAAGAGATATTTCGAGGCGTTTGTAGGTCGAAATGGCAGCTAGCATCCGCCGACAATGGTCTCGTAGACTGTGATGTCCATGTGCTCTCGTGCAATGTCCGTGTGACCAGCACGTATGATGGCGACGTGGATCGATGTGTCTGTACCGCTTTAGGCTTCAACCTTGAGTTTCTCGATGGCAGGCACGGCATCGTCGCCGTCAATGTCCTCTTCGTCGACCTTACCGACAAGGCCTCTCTCCCAAAGTTGCCGGCCGGTTAATTTCTTCTCCTCGACCTTCCCACCTCTCTTCTTCTTGTCCTCTGCCTCATCCTCCTCCCTCTGCTTCCTTTCCTTCTCCTCCATCTCTCTTCGGAACTTCTCCCTCCACTCGAGGAAGCGCTCCCTCGTCACGATCGTGCCGTGGAACTTTCTGTTTTCTTCCTCCTCTTTCTCCGCTGCTACTACATCTCTTGCAGCCTGTGCTTGTCGGAGCCTGTCCGATATCAGGGTTTCTGCAGCCTCTTTCAATGTGGTCACCAGTGTGAAGACCATGGCCATGCCCAGGCTGTCCTCAATCGTGGGCTGCAACGCATCTAATAGCTGGGCTTTGTCTGCTTGGATGTCGAGTTGAGGATGTTTAGCTGCGTTTGGCGGAGCCCCAATGTCCAAATGTGGTCCGACATCAGGATATGCTTCTGGATATGTGACACTTAGGAGGATGACGGGTGGTTCAGGTGCTTCCTCGTATTCGTCGGGAACGTCGAGCGTTATAGACAGCCGGTAGGACGTATCTGAAAGATCTATAACACTAGGTCATCAGAACATGAAGGTTCGGAGGGGCACATTTTGCGGCTTGCAAACCTGTAATCTCATCTGGAAAGATGGAGTCGAGGACTTCTCGCTCTTCTTTCTGCTCTTCGATACCCATCGTTGTAATTGTCCTCGCATCCAGGTCACTTTGAAGGAAGTCCGCAGCTCTAACAGAGTCGATGTGCCAATGATGGGAGTGTACACTTTGTGCGGGTTTTCAGTTGCGCATACTCAGATCTGGCTGCGGGGAAGATGGTTCCTTTATGGTGAGCAACCGCCGCTTTAAAAGGGGATGAGGCTGGCAGCCCCGTCCTCCACTCGGTATTCTGTCTGGTAGAGGCTTAAGGGACCACTGATATATGAAGACTACTTAATTATCTATAGATACATAGCTGTCATAACGATGGGCTTCAGAGGCGCGTAGGCTGTACCAGCACGGCGAAGTCCATTGTCGTCTGCGCCCTCGCCCTTGTCACCCCAATACAGTGTCACGCTTTCCCTGGCTTGCAGACCGCCCGTCTTATTCGTTCCATCCACAGCATCCCTGTTCTCGGGATCTGGCATGCGACAGGGCCACACGTCGATCAGGTCGATCAAGGTTGGTAAGTGTCCGAATGTAGCAGGCTGCGGGCCTTTGGGACGCCACAGAGTAAGGTAAGTCGCCGACAGCGAAAGCAAGAAAAGTGCGACTGCAGTGTAGCAGACCTGTGGTATGCGCATCTCGATCCCTTCCCAATAAGGTCCAAATGCAAGACTGAAGACCCAGTGGATGAGAGTCTTGAAAACGAACAGGCATATCGTTTGCCAGGTTGTAAAGGCTACATGGAAGGCGCCGTACTTGCTAGGCCCGAGACCACCAGTCGATGCGGCGCGCCGCCACAGACTTTCGTCACGTGAGCACTGTACGAGTAATTCGACGACATGGAGATCGATTGTGATGCCGCCAATGAAGGCACAGGTCAACAGGTACTTGCAAAGGAGCCAGGGGCCAAATGTATTGTGGCTTTGACCAAGCGACGTGGAGATTCCGAGAAAAGCAGTGGTATCGATCCAGTCCGGGATGAGACTCCAGTCAGTTGTGTATGATCGACTGAAGCTGCCCCAAGACGGGCCCAGAGAAGGCCCGCCTCCAACCTGAAAGGCGACAGTAATGGCCATGAACCACAGAAAGGCAAACAATGTGACCGTCCACACAAAGATGAGTGCTCGGCGGACTCGGAAGTGAGCCTTGAGCAAAGAGCCTTGCCTCGTTTTCGGGCGGGTGGGTGCGTCGCGGATTCCGAGGTCCTGCGCTTCGTGAACGCTCAACATCGTTCGGTGAGAGAGTGGTGTCAGCCATCCTTGATCCCGACAGAGCTTCGCTGTATGGATGGGATTCGTGGACCATGTCGGAAACTTGTTGACCATCAAAGCCCGCGTCGCTATTGAAGCTTGCCCAAGCAAGCCCAAGCCCAGAAAGATCAGAGCATAGCCTGAAATGACATCTTCAGAATAGAAGGCATCCGTTTCGTCGTCAACAAATGACCTTACCGACTCCACAATGACCATCGAGCCACAGGCGTAGCATGAAATCAAGGACCACGCCCATACAACGTTGACTGGCCACCAATGGATGCGGGAGTTGGAACAATTCGTGAAGAGTCGCAAGTTGGAATTGAACGTCAATCTGCGAGATGCAAGGAGCGTAAAGCGGAGGCTGGTGGCGTGAATCAATCCAGCCATGTCTGACAATGCTGTGATCCAAAATGCCACCGCCAGTTGCACGAACGGGGCAATGGCCTTATGGTGAAGAAACGAGGGACCGTAGCCATTGCCCGACTTGTCTGTACTCGACTGTACGACAGCGCCGTACACAATGACGCCGAATCCTGTGAGCCACATCAGGGCAAGTCCGACAGTACATGTCCTATGTGTCCAAATCCCCGGATCAATCACTTCTAGAG